ATTGATAGGAAGATCGAGTTCCCTCTTCCAGATATCAAAACTAGAAGACGCATCTTCCAGGTTAGCATAACTAATTCTAATTCTACTGAGAGAATAAATCAATAGCTCTTTTTTCTCAAAAGTTTTCTTGTTCATTGAGCTTACATCATCTCTGTTTCAAATAGATACACACATCGAAGATGACTCTATCGGAAGATGTGAACCTTGAAGAGTTTGTGATGACGAAAGATGAGTTCTCGGGTGCTGATATAAAGGCTATATGCACTGAGGCTGGTCTACTTGCTCTCAGGGAGCGTCGTATGAAGGTAACAAAGACTCTGAACCATTTTGCTCAATCCATACAAACACACACCAGTTAGGTAATTACTAGCTACAGACTCTAATATTTGGTGTGTTTGATTTGGTGTTCTTGCAGGTGACACATCCGGATTTCAAGAAAGCGAAGGAGAAGGTTATGTTCAAGAAGAAGGAAGGCGTCCCTGAAGGCCTTTACATGTAAAATCATTACTATTATCATCCTCGTCCACAGTTTCCTTCTAAACATTTGCTTCTGCCTAGGATCTTTCTGGTCTTATCAATTGTGGCTTTTCGGATTTCCTTTAAATTAAGAATTCCTCATTTCCATTTACGACGCCTACTTTGGAATCTTGGTTTATTCTAAACTAAAAATTTTGTTAATTAGAACCGAACGTTACAGAATGCGAGAATCAAACACCCGAAAAATAAAAAAGTTCTCTGTTGGTGCTTTACCCTCGAAAAGGAAGACCATTATTTCCAGTGGCCAAGTAATAATAATTACACAGTGTATTTAATTTCTTAAACAAGCAACATCTTTATGACAAATACGAACTTAATTTACTAGGGCGTGAAGAAGGACCATGTGGGTTTCGATCTTTTAGCGCCCATGCGAGACAAATGGTTCGGTAAACGTCAAGGTAGCAACCGAACTGGGCTGAGCAAGTGACTCGGCTGTTTCACCAGAAAATTGAGTAGTTCCAACGATTTCTCGAGCTTTCACAATGTCAAGCAAGTTGGTAGGTAGTTGAGCTACACCGTCCAAGAACTGGATAACACTCGACATGCTCGGTCTAGTGGCTGCAACCGGATGCGAACAGAGCAAGCCCAGCTTCAGGACAAGTGTTACTTGCTCCTTGAGACGCTCATCATCATGCTTAACCTTCTCATCAACCACTTGCAATATGTCATCTTCCCAACAATCTAGCACCCAATCCGTAAGTACCATCTGGCTCGGCAAAGATGCTCGTGGCAAGACGGGTCTTCGCCCGCAAGTAATTTCTAACATGAATACTCCGAACGCGAATACATCAGAGCTCGTGCTTGCCTTTCCTGTTCTCGAGAGCTCCGGTGAGATGTACCCAAACGTGCCAGCCACGTTAGAGGTTTGCGGGTCAAACCCGTGATCACAGAGCTTCGCAAGACCAAAATCACCGAGCTTTGCGTTCATAGATTCATCAAGAAGAATGTTTGCTGGCTTAATGTCCCTGTGGATGATGACTTGAACCCATTGCTGGTGTAAATAGCAGAGACCAGAAGCTACATCTTTGATGATCTTGAATCTTTGTGGCCAGTCAAGACTCTGTTCCGGTTGATGGTAGAGAAACTTATCAAGACTGCCTTTAGGCATACAATCGTAGACCAGATAGAGTTCGCCTTTGCGCCTGCAGTAACCAAGAAGCCGAACTAAGTTAGGATGTCTGAGACGCCCAATAGTCGCGATCTCAGCGATGAACTCTCTCATTCCTTGTCTCGAATCATGAGAAACTTTCTTCACCGCGATGTCCATGTTTGACGTCAGTAATGTACCTTTGTAGACTTTTCCAAACCCTCCTTTACCAAGAAGCTCACTGTTCTTGAAACCCTTTGTGGCAGTGTAGAGATCCTTGTAAGCGAACCTGTGTGGACCAAACTGAACCTCCCAGTCTTCAAGAACTTCCATTAACTTCTTCCTTTTCAAGAAAAGCATATAACTTATGGTCAAGAAGATGAGGATTACGAGGCCGGTTAAACTCAAACCGATAGCCAAGATCTTTTTCAGACTAGTCCGAGTCCTAGAGTCTTCTTGATAGAGACTAGGAAGTTTTGGAAGACGAGATGGATCTATGTTTGCAGCTCTCCCATTGACCTTGAAGGTCCAAGCAAGAATATAGTGAGCTGAAAGAACAGAGCCCGTGGATGAAGTGAAGCCAACGTACATCAACTCGTGGAGAACTGACGACAAATCTTTGGTTAGAGAAAGCAGTGGAATCTTCGGCTTAGGGACATGAAGAGGGTGTAGTGTGACATTCAGTTGCTTGCTTGAGGAATCATATTCGACCCAGGCTTGTATCGGTTTTCGATTTATAAGAATGATTTTCTTGAAAGTACCATCGTCTTCGTAGTAACCTGCGGTAGAAGCTTTCTCTGAATTCAAGCTATTGATGTCGATACCAACATGGTTATCATCCATGTCGTCAAACTCAGTGCTTCGGATCGTATCAAACTCAACTGCTACGACATGATTTGAGGAATTTCCATTGTTTGTGATATTAAAGAGCCCCAGGTATTGTGAGGCCGTAGCATAGGGCAAGCCTTTGGTAGGACAGATGGCAAAAGCAATTCCATGGCCACTGAGAACAAATGTAGTGGAGAAGGACGAAACGGTTCCGTTTGGTGAGTCCTTGAACCGAACTGGGTTGTTGTAGAAAACTTGACCAGTCTTTTGTACGGAAGTATTTGATAGCTTCACTAATCCGTTGGAATCAAGATTGGCAGTTCCATAGCTGTCGTACAAGTAACCATTGAAGCCGAACTCTCCTTCTTCACTCTGAGCTACTGCTTTGTTGCAGATGAATTGAGGCAAAAGAAGAAGCACCAGTACTACAAACATATTTAATCGTTTTTTTTTTTCTTTCTGATGAATGATCTTAGTCTTACCAGATGTTTTTGATCTGAAAAAGAATTCTATTTGTAGCCTGTAGGAATTTCGACATAGGGACGACTTGGAGAGTCGAAAACTCTCAAGTGTTGGTGATAAAAATGTTGAATAGTTCATACAAAAAAAAAATGTTGAATAGTCATTATTTCCGCGTTTCCCTACCATACGGTCCATACCAAATTACCAATCCCTTTCTTTGACGCCTCTTGCTGGTTTTATTTTCCTCTGTGATACACATCTCAAAAGGTATAAAGTATTTGAATCTTTGTCTCGAGCATTTGTATCTTTGATTTTGAAATAGCCTCTTTATGGGCCTAATATTCGTAACATAATGGGCTTTAGCATCAAGCCCATATTGCACACAATCGACTCAGCTGGAGTTTGAGGTGACTGATGCCGTGGAGAGAGAGAGAAAAAGACAATCATCTGGTATGTAATCTTTGAAGACTCCTTATCTCTATCCACCACGAACTGAGAGAGAGGGAAAAATAAAAACAACAAAGAGCAGAGGAGACAGAAAAACATGAGATAAGGATTTGAAGCCTCTCACCCCTTTCCTCGTTATTCTCTGGGCTTATTTATCAAACAAGAACATTTCTGGGAAAATTTTCTCAGAGCAAGGCGAACTAAAAGGTAGCTCCTTTTCTTAGTTTTTCCTCAAATGGGTTTTCTTTCAAAGTAATTATGCAATCATGCAAAGACTCATCGCGTCTTGTCATGATAAGATAAGTCCGAAATTTACTGCCTTTCGTTTCCGTCACCCGTGTGTGGAGATTGAATTTTTGAGTCGTTTAGTTAGAAATGCAATGCAATTTCAATCCCACTTGAGAAAAGAGTGACCTTTTCCTCAGTTGTGTTAGTATTTGCTTCATTTCAGTTTCTGTTGTTGCCCAATTAAGCTTGAAATTTGACAGTGTGTGTAATGCGTTCATGTCGTAGGTGACAGTTTGTAGCTACATTGAAGATGGCTACGATGACCCCTTCTTCAATCAGCAACGCCTGGCTCATTCCCGGAGCCTCTTTCACTGTAAAGAAGAACGATTGCTCCATCAAATGCTGCTTCTCGCGTAAAGCCGGCAAACAAATACCATCATCAGCTCAGAGACTCGTCTTGCCTCTTTCCACTTCGCTTAAACTGTTTCCTACTCATGGAAGGCAGTTTGTGTTGCATCCTCATCGTATCAGAGCCACTGGGACTGATGTTGTGGCACTAGAGGAACAAGACTCTCCTCCTGTTGCAGAAACCGATGCAAATGACAAGTCAGCAGCTCCAGCTCCTGCCACTACTACTACTACTCCAACATCTCAGTCAAGAGGAACAGCAAGACCCGGAAGGACTAACGAAACGCCGACGGTTAAGAACGAGGAGCTTGTTCCCGGAGCTACCTTCACTGGGAAAGTACGAGCGATCCAGCCTTTTGGTGCTTTCGTTGCCTTTGGTGCCTTCACTGATGGACTAGTCCATGTCTCTCAGTTGAGTGATAGCTTTGTTAAGGATGTTGCGAGTGTTGTCACTATTGGACAAGAGGTGAAAGTGAGGCTGGTGGAAGCTGACATTGAAGGAAAACGTATTTCTCTCACAATGCGTGAGAATGACGACCCTCCCAAGCGCCAGTCCGGTGGTGGTAGTAGTGATAAGCCGAGACCAGGAGGAGGGAAGAGGAATGCTTCAAAAGGAGGGCAGAGGAAGGAAGATGGTTTCAACTCAAAGTATGTGAAAGGGCAGATGTTGGATGGAGTGGTGAAGAATTTGACGAGGTCAGGAGCGTTTATAACGATAGGTGAAGGCGAGGAAGGGTTTCTACCTACCAATGAGGAAGCTGATGATGGGATTGGGAGCATGATGATGGGTGATGGCTCTTCGTTGCAAGTTGGACAGGAGGTTAAGGCTCGTGTGTTGCGGATTGCGAGGGGACGTGTTACTTTGACGATGAAAGAGGAAGATGATGGTAAGTTTGATGAAACTGTTAGTCAAGGAGTTGTGCATACAGCCACGAATCCGTTTGTGCTTGCTTTCCGTAAGAACGAAGAGATTGCTGCGTTTCTTGACAAGAGGGAGGAAGTGGCTGAGAAACCAGTAGAGCCTGTGAATGAATCAGAAGAAGCTGAAGCCACTATCACAAGTGAAGAGGTTCTCACATCAGAGACTCCCAAGGTAGAAGAAGAAGTGATAGCGGCGAAAGCTGAAGATGATTCACAGGAAAAGGTAGAGCAGACAGAAACACTTGCTGCAGCAGCTGAAGCTGAAGAGGTGGAGAAGATTCCAGAAGAAAGTGGCAATGTGATCAGTTCTGAGACAGTACCAGATGTTCCTTCAATTCCAGAAACCAAAAGTAGGTTGAGTTTTACCTTCTATTATATTGAATTAATTCATTGTTTTAATGTGGTAATAGCATTGAACCTATTCGTCTACTGGTGACCAGATGAAGAGGAAATTGCTGAGAACTCTGTTCCTTCAGAACCACCCACTGATGAAGTTTCATCTTCAGAAGCTGTAGCCAGTGAAGAGGTTCAAAAGGAGGAAGTGGTGGCCGAAGTACCTACTGCTAATTATGATGAGACTCCTTCCTTTTTTGCCACAGAAGCTTCTTCTTCTGAGGAAAGTGGCAACACTGCTACTGCAGATGAAAGCATCAAAGGTCTTTTTCTTTTACACATATTTCGCTTGTTTTACAGATTCTGCTTCATGACCAAATGATTTAATGGGGAACTTTCTATCTATTGTACAAAAAATAATGCAGGGAGCATTTCACCAGCTCTTGTGAAGCAGCTGAGAGAAGAAACAGGTGCGGGAATGATGGACTGCAAGAACGCTCTTTCCGAGAGCGAGGGAGATATGGTCAAAGCTCAGGAGTACCTCCGCAAGAAGGGACTAGCCAGCGCAGATAAGAAAGCAAGCAGAGCCACAGCCGAGGGAAGAATCGGTGCTTATATCCACGACAGCAGAATCGGTGTCCTCTTGGAAGTTAATTGTGAGACGGATTTTGTCTCACGTGGCGACATTTTCAAGGAGCTTGTTGATGATCTGGCGATGCAGGTAACTCCCAAGATTCTAGCGAAAGCATCTTCTTATTCATTTTGCTGTAACTGAGAACGTAAAAATTGACCTGACATGTAGGTGGCTGCGTGCCCTCAAGTAGAGTATCTTGTAACCGAAGATGTTTCGGAAGAAATTGTGAAGAAGGAAAAAGAGATAGAGATGCAAAAGGAAGATCTTTTGTCGAAACCGGAGAAGATGAGGGAGAAGATAGTGGAAGGTCGGATAAAGAAGAGGCTAGATGCACTTGCGTTGCTCGAGCAACCATACATTAAAGACGATAAGGTGATAGTGAAGGATTTGGTAAAGCAGAGAATTGCAACCATTGGAGAAAACATCAAAGTAAAGAGATTCATCAGATACACTCTCGGAGAAGGCCTTCAGAAGAAAAGCCAGGACTTTGCTGCTGAGGTTGCTGCACAAACCGCAGCTAAACCAAAATCTGAACAAGAGAAGGAACAGCCAAAAGCTGAAGAGCCTAAGGAAGCTGTTGCAAGGTGAAATAATCTTTTCTCTTCTTAACTAAGTTCTTTAGAGTTTCGTCTACAAAAAGACTTGACTGTTTTTGGAAATTGGCATTGCAGTCCAGCAAGTACAGTGGTGGTTTCAGCTGGTCTAGTGAAGCAGCTGCGTGAAGAAACAGGAGCTGGAATGATGGATTGCAAGAAGGCATTGGCGGAGACAGGAGGAGATCTTGAGAAAGCACAAGAATACCTCAGAAAGAAGGGTCTCTCAACAGCTGATAAAAAGTCAAGCCGGATTGCAGCAGAAGGGAGAATCGGCTCATACATTCACGATTCTCGGATTGGAGTTCTGATTGAAGTGAACTGTGAGACTGATTTCGTGGGAAGAAGCGAAAAGTTCAAGGAACTGGTTGATGATCTTGCAATGCAAGCAGTGGCTAATCCACAGGTAAGAAGAAAACTTTCTCAGCTGAAACAATGGCTTTAAACGATGGTCTCTGACTTGAAATGGCTACACGCAGGTGCAATATGTTTCGGTTGATGATATTCCAGAGGAGATAAAGCAGAAGGAGAAAGAGATTGAGATGCAAAGAGAGGATCTTTTGTCGAAACCAGAGAACATAAAGGAGAAGATCGTTGAAGGAAGGATCTCAAAGAGGCTTGGAGAATTAGCATTGCTTGAGCAGCCTTACATTAAAGATGATAGTGTTCTTGTTAAGGATCTTGTGAAGCAAACGGTCGCTACTCTTGGTGAAAACATCAAAGTCAGGAGGTTTGTCAAGTTTACTCTTGGAGAAGACAACTGAGGAGAGACAATCATTTTTTCAATATAAGGGAGCTCTCTTTTGTTATGAGTTTAAAAGCAAAGTCTTCCTTTTTTTGTTTTGTAGACAAAATCTTAAAGTGTTTACCTTTGATTAGTTTATAATCAAAAAGCTGTAATTTTTGTTCATGAAAAGATGAGATTGCTTTTTCCACATTTTGTTGTCTACTACATGTAATGTAATTATGTTACTAACACTAAACCCGGATTATGACCATAGTAGGTCCCCAACTGGGCTAAAAAGCTTGGCCCACTAACGTTTTAGGCCCAATAAAACTAAGGGATGGATAAAGTTATGATTTGTGAAGGAAAAGAGAAAAAACCTTTTTCTTCCTCGTAGCGTCTCTGTTAATTTCTAATTTCCTGCTCAGGTTCGTGAATTCTCTCCAATCTCAGTGCAAGGTCTCTTGAATTATCCTTCTGAATTTTCTTGTCGTTTTTGTTCACTTTTTGAGATCCGATTTGGTGCTCTATGCAAGTGAATTCAAGGTTTTATGGTTTTGAGAGGTGTTTATTAGCAATTTGGAATTTTTCTTCGAAATGTGTAGACGAAATTCTATACTTTAGGTTTTCTTTGGTGGAATTTTCTCTAGTTTGATTCAGAAATATATGTTCATCATCCATTAAATTGGGTTTAAATGTCGGTGTACTGAGATCGGCTTGGTCCCAAAATGCTCTCTTTATACTATCATGAAAATTTAGAAATTTTTAGTCCCAAACACTCTCGTCTTTTCACAGGCCAAAAGCTTATTCCTATCAAAACTAAGCAATGTAAAGTTTTGAAAGTCCTGATCACTTTGCATTAGTTTCTTCATATCTCCAAGAAACTTGAGAATTTCAAGAAGCAACAAAATTAAGCTGTTTATTGCATCTCCAGAGCTCAATTTCTCAACCAAATGATTAGCATTTATCTCACTGTAACTGTCAAATGAATTTAGCTCATTAGAAAGGTCACTTTCTAAGGAGTTGCAGAAACAAGATAAGATTTTTTTTATTTCTTACTCCAATGTGATATTCATAGTTATCAAAGATCTTATGGATAGCTGAAGTCATTGTATGCTCCGTGTTGTTTAACAGATGAACTTTGGGTTACCGAGCATTTCGTGGTTTAACAACAACAACAGCTCGAAGAAGGATGTAGCCATAGTAGAAACCGTGACATCCACGACTACTCTCTTGGAACAGCCAGGTCAAGAGAAAGCCTTATTCGATATAAAGATATGGACTTGGTCCCTTAGTTCTGTGATTCCTTGGGCTGCGAATTCTGGTGATGGAAAGCAGAAACCCACAACTATCAACAGAGGGTTAAAACGGCACGTCAAGTCTCGCAGGTCCTCAAGGTTTAACAGTGTGAACACTGTTTACCGGTTTAGACCTTACGTGTCGAAGGTTCCGTGGCACACAGGGACGAGGGCGTTTCTTTCGCAGCTTTTCCCGAGATACGGGCATTACTGTGGACCTAACTGGTCCAGTGGGAAAGATGGGGGTTCGATGATATGGGACCAGAGGCCTATTGATTGGTTAGACCATTGCTGTTATTGCCATGATATTGGTTATGATACTCATGACCAGGCAGAGCTGCTTAAAGCTGACATGGCGTTTCTTGAGTGCTTGGAATCGAACAAGCGCGTTGTTACAAGAGGGGATGCTCAAGTTGCTCACTTTTACAAGACAATGTGCATCACAGGTAACTACACTTTCTCTCTGTGACATGCCTTGGATCTAAGTCTATCTCAAGCTGCTCTTGTTGCTCTTGTATTCGTTGTGATATCTGTTTGATGGTATATCTTGAACTTATCTATCTCAAATGGTTTCAGGTCTCAAGAGCATACTAATACCATACAGAAGCTACCTTGTAAAGATACAATACGGGCAAAATCTGCTCGACTTTGGCTGGATATTGACCAACCTTAGCAAGAGAAGCTGGAGCTTTCAGAAGAATTGAGACATAAACAACACGAAGCAAATCGGAGATACTCTGCAATCCCTGGTGTCTTCACTCTTCACTATCGTTTTGTACATAGAAGTCGTCAAGAGGAGTAAAGTGAGGATTAGGTTCTGTAATATAGATAAATACGTTTAATGTGGTGTGCAATCTTCTAAACCCTTTGTACAAGTTTAGTAATATAATGATCAATATCATTTTGTTTGAAACACTGTGAACTAGAGAATAGTTTGCTTCAGGAGTTTGTGAGGAGGATGTTGCACTTTTGGTGCAATGAGATACAATCATTCGGTTCACATTGGTTAGCCAAAACCATACAAGGAGAGTTTGCTACATAAATACAAACAAAATCAAAAACCGCATCCGGTTTACACACTACCAATCTTTTTATACATATGAATAATGAAGTCTTCCTTGGCAAACACACATACACAGACCCATATCAGTTTTTGATTGGTAGAGACAGATGTAAGAGGAAGAGGCCTTATTAGAACTTAGTAGAGGCTGTTATAAGAAAGACAGTAAAAAGTAAAAACTAGCACACAAAACCCAAAAATACTTCAAAACAAAATGGCTTTTACATTTCTTAAAAACATTTTTCTTTTCCACACAACAGAGCATTTGCTAGTTCCTGCTTCTGCATTTTTCCATCACCCTTGGAGCTGCAAACAAACAAGATTTCTGTAAGGAACATTTTCTTCATTAGCTCTTAGTCTTTAAGAGCTCGGAAACGACCAAGTGGCACGGGTGTGGAACAGATTCATTTATATAAAACAAGGGTGTAAGAATAATGACTAACCTAGGCCAATAGCCTCAGAGCTCTTCATGATTCTCAGCTTCTTGCAGGAACCTATAAACATTCTGCAGAGACGAGGAAGAGGTTTTCATAACATATCTAAAAATGACCAAGACTATGAATATTATAGTAGATGTAAGTATACAAAAATTAAGCTTTTGATTGATCTTAGAAATTAGCAAACAAAGACTTACTCCCAAGGGACATCACCGACCAACATCCAGTCACTGTCTTTATCTTCATAGGTCACAACATACTCCGAACCACGCAAGAGATCGGTCAAGCGACTCTCGTTTAACCCATCCCGGCCACACCCTCCATGAGACCCAAACTGACCTGAAAATAAAAACCAAAAGAAAACAGTTAAAGACTTAACTCAATCACAAAGTATTAGCTCAATGAAGGAGAGACTAGAGAAAACAATACCAATAGTGAAGCAACTGAACATCTTCTCGAGAGCAGAAGAGAGCTCGACGTAGCTCTTGTAAGTCTTGAGATCGATTTTCCTCAAGTAAGGAGCACCTTCCATACTCACTTTGACATACAAGCAAGGCTCTGGTCCAGACTTTGCTTCTGCTTCAGTCTCTGAGTTGTTATGATTGTCACCACCACCTTGTTTCTGAGATTGAGAAGAAGCCATTGTGTTCTTCCTGAATGATCTTATCGGTGGCCAACCCACCACTTGTGCCCTGCTCAATCCAAAACCCATACAAAAAGTTACTATAAAATATCTAAAAACAGAGAACTTTCCGGCGGAAAAAGAAGAAAGGTTTTATCTTTACTTTGCAGCTGGAGCTGCTGCAGAGCTCTTCTTCTCCTTAACCGGAACGACCGGTTTAGAGTCTTTCACGGCGGAGCCACCGGACCCGACATCACCAGTAGCGGTAATGGATCCAGGAGAGAAGACCCATTTGTTGGACTCGTTAATGGCATCGGAAAATACTCTTTTGGCACCTGAGCTCTTGAGAGACAAGAATCTCGGGTCGACTCGGCCCGGTGACTCGGAACCGGGTAAACCGAGTCTCAACTCGGTGGCCTTGAAATTCAGACAGTCGTCGTCGTCGTTGTTGCTGTTGTTGTTGTTGTCTCTGGTTTTGGTTTTGTCAGACATTGTTGTTGGCTCCATGGTTGGAAACTCTGACAAACCTATGTAATCATGCTCTGCTGCTACAGATTCAGACATTTTTCAAGTAAGAATGAGGAGAAACTTTTGAAGCATTTAGTGATTGAGAAAAACAGTAAAACACTTTCTGAGAGAGAGAGAGAGAGAATAAAAATTGAGAGAGATGAATTGTGAGGTGTTTTTTTTGGGAGACGATTGCTCTGTGAAATGATAAAAAGGTGAGAGCTTTTTAAAATTTTGGATGGAATCGTATTTGCCAAAAGTGAACAAAAATATACGTAATTTCTATTTTTATAATCCGCAATTAGAAGTAAGTAGTTCTTTCCACTTTGGGGCGTTTTCAACACAAAACTAATTACCGATACTTGCTTAAGATTAAAAAAATGTTAGTATTTGATAAATTGTTTATACAAGTATGAAATTATATACACACGTTACCTTTGTATAGACATCTACTCCCCGACAGGTCACAGAAAGTGTCCTGCAAACTTTCCGATTCTGCCCTTGTCTCTTTCTCTCTCTCTCTTTACTCCACTAATTTTTTTTTTACTTTTGTAAAAACCAAGTTGCTTTATCTTGGAGGCCCATGTTATGCTATCATGAATTATGCTTTAGTAGCTAAAATACGCATTTTTATTCAGCTCGTCTTCATGTACTGCATGTTAAAATGTTTTCTTTTGTCATTTCATAAATATCAAAACACAACTACGGCGAACAATTCAATCTATGATAATGTTGAAGCCATATTTTACAATAAGTCAACTGTTTTGGAATCTTAACTTCACAACCTAATGTATAAAGTATAAACAGTAACATTTTAGCTAATGTTTCGCGATGCAAATTAAGATTATTAAACGCCAATAATTGCAATGGAAGATGATTAGACTTGAGGATGAGGGAGAGAAGAGAATCTCGAAAAGCGTTGGGCCCATGGGCTCTCAGTATTGGGCCCACCAGGAGCATGAAAAGGTAAAGAAAACAGTAGGGGTAGGTCTTTGCCACTTAGCCGCAGTAGCAATATTGAGCAGTGTTCCCAAAAAAGAATGAGTGAATTTGGTGAATAGCATAATTTTAGGCTTTATTTAGGTGAGAGACAAATTGTAAAATGGCTATTAACATATAGACAAAGGGTATCGAAAAATAGAGAGAGACAAAACGCATTGAGCAAATGGAATTAATCGTGCGAGTGAGGGTGGTATTCTGAGCTCCGAATTCAATTGACCGCCTTACATAAGCGAACATCATTGGGATTAAATTGAATTAAATGCGACAAGTTGCTTAGAAATGACTGATAGCGGTAACATTGGGATTCATGACTAATTTTACCAAAACATATGTTTACGGGTAAATATATTATCATATAAGTATATAGATAATCATATCATAGAAATATAAAAAACATAAACATATATAGACAACCACATAAACATATAAAGAACCATATAAAAGAATATAGACAACCACATAAACATATAGAGAACCATATAAAAGAATAGCAAACTATATATAATGTTTGAAACTAAAAGAAAATGTCATATAGATACGTAGAGCACCATATCAAAATATAACAAAATATAAACACATGTTGAGAACTATATCATTTTCATATAAATATATAGATTGTCATATAAATTTATAGACAAGCATATAAAAAAATGTCAAATTATATACATATATTGACAATTAGATATATTGTCATAAGTCATAACACAATCATATCAAACTATTATGCATTCGTATACAGCTAAAAACATTGTCATATAAAAGTTTGTAAACAACTATATCAACATATAGATGTTATTTATTTTCTTAGTACTTTATAAGTAAATATAACTCGTTATAACAATATTTGTCATGCTAAACATCTAACAACAGTTTTAAATTTTGGTTTTCAATAAATTACGTCGTATAACGTAATTCACATATAAGTCCTTTAACAAAAAAAAAAAAAAAAAACAAAACGTAATTCACATAGATTTGTCCATAATGGTTTTTGGAATGGATCAATAAGTCAACTGATTTCGAAATTATGTTTTTTGAGTTATTTGGCTCAGTTTAGAAATGGTTAATTTGATCGAGTTTGTATCGATTGTAAAAAGAGTTTACAAGATAACAAATGGAGAAGAAGAAGAAGAGAGAGAGAGATGATCGAGGTAGAAGAAGAAGAAGAAAAGAGATAGAAACTTAAAATAGAAAAGTTGTGCATTGAATTTTTTATTTAATGTAATTGAAAAAAATATTTCTTGTTCTTCTTGCATGCAAACTCGCGTGGGGTTAAAGTGGGTATAAAGTGTGCCAAAATATTTTCCTGATTGAAGCCACAAAACTCTATATGTCAAATATTTAATAACGTCACTTCCTATGGCTACTAGATGCAAATTCTCAAAAAGAATTGTGGTCTCCACACACCACTTTTTTATTTTATTTCAGACAATGTTTTTCCCAAAATCTAGCATTTATGCTATATAATATTTGGCATGTTAAGAAATTTTTGATAGTTGAATCAAAGTATTAAAAATTATCAAACTTTGGTTTATATTTGATGCTTATATATCAAATTTCTACCGAATTTTTGTGTGTTTCTGTTTCATCTACTATTACATATTACATATTTACATTTTATATTCCTTTTTTTCTGTCGGTCAGTTATTTTATTAGCTGCAAAACAGATTACAAAGTTTACAACATGATTTTTTACATCCAAATGATAACATGGCTTTTAGATTCTGCCTTTGCTGTTTTTGCTAAGCTATCAGTTTCTACTTGTCTTCCCTTCCTACATGCATATAGAGAGATTGAGATTAGGTTGAGTTAAACTCAATGCATCTTTATATTCATTTTAAGTATCAAAGTATGTTACAAATAATGGTTTTCTGTTGATACTATATATGCCTTTCGATCTTCATACAAGATTTTCGAAATGACTAAATATCTAAACTCTTAGAATGTTTCAACTCATATTATACTACAAAACATAAGTTGCACATTCGGATTTTAAGCCAGTTATAAGTTATAACAGAAATAAAAAATTCAGAGATTCTTGTGGATGAAAACGAGTAAAAGAAATATATGGAGTACGTATTGTTTATCTCTACCAACGAGATACTAATTTCATCTTTGATAATATCATTCGTAAAGACGACGATATATGTAATATGTATACAACAAGTCAACAAAACGTGTAAGTTATACACCATGCATAGTAATTTGGTTAAATTAAAGCCTGTAACTGTAAGGTGGGTTCATCTTTCGATCTTATCTGAAGCTTTTTGGATTTGTGATTTAGTGTAAGTTCGAGTGTCTTAGTCACAAGGTGCCTTTCTTTTCCTTTTCCTTTGTCTCTCTCTTTTTTTTGGGTAAAATGTTGTCGTTTTAGAACTTCTAATCTTAAATTGCATCTTGTTAATCCGCCATGTAATCGTGTCATTAATTCGTTACTTACAGAAGTTGCAAAGATATAAAAATATTAATATCACGTAAAATGTTACTTTCAGTTTTATTTTTATTTTTCTTTTTCTTTTTTTTGTCATCGGTTTTATTTTTCTTTTTCTTCATTTGCTATAATTTTCACTTAATTTATATGATAAACTTTTATAATTTACGATATATGTAAATGAAGTTAAGTTAAGAATTTATATGATAAACTTTTATCAGACATATCAATTATGACTAATTGAAAACTATGTATTTAGTTGAGGATCGAGTGGAAATACACTAGACCTGAAAATGTTAAATCAATGGACAATCATACTTACAGCGTTAGTGAAAGATCGATTTGTGTCGTAATCAAAAAAACAAAAGGGACAGTGTGAATCTTTAGACAAAGCAGCCACTTACCCTCCTTGATTTAACGTCTATACAAGAACCCCATGCTCCATTATAATTCATAACTTACCATATCGAATCAATCCAACGACTATAAATGAACGATAAATACTTATGGCTTTTTATTCCTCGTCGATTAAACCGCATACTCTATATGGCTTTTTATCGGATCTAAAACTTGATATAAGAGGGAGTTAAAATGTTAGTGACAAAGCTATATAAATCTTTTTTCACAAAAAAAAAGCTATATAATCTTTTATTCGAGACAAGGACAACAAGAATAGATCCCTTTGAACATCAACGATGAATTATTGCATGGAAAACACACACGCAAAAACAATTAGAAAATATAGTTATTTAATTAGCTACATGGACACATTGAGATAAGATATATTTCGAGCATCAAACGCGATTGTTCCAAATTGTTGCTTTGTTTCTTCGCATTCAAATTTAAATACAACACTCTTGTGTTTGAGGAAAGAAGTTTCGATTGTAAAAAGTTGTTTCAATCCCACATGCAAAAGATTTTTAGTACGGACCAAATATTCGGAACTTCAACTGTGTAAAGATATATTTGATCACACGGTGGGATTTATCAAAAGTGATTTCAAATATTGTAATCATGAGTTTCGTTAAACCTTCTTTGACATATATATGGGTTACATTATAGAAAGTGCTTGGTATTGGGAGATTGACTTTGTCTCATAGTCGACGTTTCCATAAGTCATAAGCCTCAATGATTTATATGTATATATATGTGCTCCATATATATGCATATAACGTTCCACTATCAAGAAGATAGATGAAGCATATATCTGGTTAAGTGCATTCATCCTCCTTTAAGTAACTCATATACCGTAGGAACAGAGAACATAGTGAAAATGTAAATTCTGAGTTTTCATTTATTTCAATTGGGCTGATGGGCATGGCAAAGAGCTCACCATCACTTGTCCACGAGAAAAGTCCTTCACATGCACGAAACCAGTAAGGTTTGGTCATCATGGGCCTCATGAGACTTGTCCTGAATTTCTTGACAGCTCATGTACTGGGTCTGTGTCTAACAAAAAAAAGAAGTAATTACTACTCAACATTTGTTCACAGGTTCGAGAAGACTCTTAAAGAATGTTCACAAAATATGTATCTGTACAAGATTTCAGATCACGCAGGCCACACCCTTTTGGCAAAGCGATAAGGCAAATTATTTGTTTGTTGGATTGAATGTGTAGAACAGTACG